ACTGGGCAAGGGAGTAATTATTATGTATATATAATATATACAGTATACACGTTATAGTCATTAAACACACAATAATGTCAAATACACAATATACTTAGGCACCTACAAGAGTGCGTACAACCAGACATAAGATGAGTTAAAATCATTAATGATATTTTKATGACAAATAAGACGTAATATATATTATATATTATTATATCTACGTATAGTTAACGCATTTAAAAAATCTATTTTTTTAAACTACCTAAATTTTGGAATAGTTTTAGGTTAGGTGAGAAGATAACTCATCCACTAGAGAATAATTATTTTAAACAATTTATTAATTTGTTATGGTAAAGGATTTAAATTTATAAATCGACATAAAAAATGTCCGGCAATATTAGGTTAGTATTGGTATATTACCATATAATTAGTTTTAATGCTAACTTTAGGTATAGGAATAAGAATAATATAAAACTGTTAAAATATAATATATTTTAATATATAAATCTCAGAGCTGCGTTGARCAAAACGACGTGATGTAATACAATTGTCACGTTTCGTACACAAACATAATAATATAATATTTTGTTTCACATAGGTAATGATAATAAATTATGCGGCTAGTAACAATTTTCGTTTTCAATAGGTAATTATTATTTCGAAAGGTAGTCGCATTAATTGGTTAAAGTTTATGAATAATTAAAATATTAAACTTATAATAATGGTATAATATCAAGCAATACCTACAGCGTGTATTTGAAAATCCTAACGCGTAAAACATTATTAAATCAATTAAAAATAACTCGGTAATTGTTAAGGGACTTTTCAGATTATAACTCTGTACCAAAACACGCGAGATGTCTTTTAGCTAACCCATCGAAGTATAAAAATTTAAAAAAAAAAGTAAAAATATCGCCAAAACGTGAAGTGTCTTTTCGGGTTATCTAGACAATCGCCTTTTTTTTTATAACGCGTCGTAAAATAACTTTAAAAATATTATAGTAAACTTTGTATTTCCTCATCACAGATACGCGTGTGTTGTCTTTTCGTAATCGGGCAAACACACTAGACGCATAATAAATAATATTTGTATGTTATAAACTTATAAAATTTGGAAAACAATAACATTATATTAGCATTAAATTATAATGCATTGTTTGATCGCGATAAGTCGCACGACAAGCTAGCTAATCAGTATAAGTAGACATGTAACCTACCTATTTAAAGTATGTGAGTACTCGGCACAATATACGATCATTTTATTCGATTTATTTAAACGGACGTTAAATGCAACAAGTGTGCACATGAAAACTCTTAAGTTTGCGGCGTCATACATACAGGAACAGGATGTATATCTATTGTATACGCAGAAGATATGATAATAATAATAATATGGCATAATATTAAAAATATTATGTAATTTCAGAGTCAAATCGTCAATAGGTACTACATCGAGCACGCGCGATCATATGGCCGGGTACGCCCAACACGTCTCGTCGGACAAATCGATTTCATACCAAATAATAATGTGTAATATAAGAGCGATTGACATGCCAAAATATTAATATTAGAATTATTATCGTAGGACCACGTATATACATCGCCCCGGGGTAACACCTACGCACCACACGCGTTGTTATAAAGTACTATATATATTGACGAAGTCGAACCACTTTGCGAACAATTCGACCTCGTCATTTACTCATTTCCGAAAACAATGAGGCAACGCCATGTACAGTGGTTGTAATATTATAGTAGTAGTAGTAGTAGTGGTAGTAGGTATTAGTAGTAGTAGTAGTGGTAGTATGTATTAGTAGTATATTAGTAATAGTAGTAATAACTAATAATAATAATTGTTGTAGTAATAATAATAACAATAATAATATCATAATATAGTATTGAATATTGATGTACATTGTACTTATGACACGTATCTGTGGGAATATGTGTGTAAAAACACCGCTGGCCAGAGTGTCACACGTTGACCTTCGAAAACGTTCCCGAATTACTGTGTAATTATCAAACGACCGGGGCAAAAAGAACACACAATTGCATAGGATTGGTAACGGTGGCGGGGAGAACAGTCGGACTTTTGTATCGGAATTACGTAATTTCGGCGGAGCGCAATGTGTAAAGAAAAAAACCGAAATGCCTTCATCGTCCGAACATCTTCGATAACATTGGTTATTATAAATATTATTATTATAACGCGATAATAATAATAATAATAATAATAATAATAATAATAGTATCATAATCATACAATTTTACAAATTACAATAAATTTAATAGTAAAATATACTGTATTTTGTAATGTTAAAAACCTATGCAGGCGGCGCCTCGAGCTCTCAATGCTGTTTGGGTGGCCTCCGCCGAAAATGTCACGGTCAAGATTGTGCGTAGTGTGGTGTGGTGTGTAGTCGTGTTATAGTAAGTTTTAGTTGTGGTGTGGCTTGCTCGGGTAAAAAWTCAGTTTTTGTTTAATATTTATTTTATTTACAAGTAGATTTCTGAGCTCGTTTGCATCTGCTTGTTATAAGACGGACATTTAGTGCGCGCATATACACACACTGACCACAGTATAATCGTAACGTGCAATAAAATACAATAGACGACCTACCGATAATATACCTGGTACATACCTGCGATCTACCTATATGTTTCCCGGAGTCGTTGAAGTATGTCAGTGTCATATAATACTATATATATTATAGACATTATAGTATGCATGTACGTCTTACATGGATGCTGCCGCTGAAACGTTTACCCATATTACATTATACCATTGATTATAAATACTAATCAATGATTATACCTAAAGCCTCGTACAGATATACAAAATCATTTTTTAAACACTGTAGATTTGTAATTTATTCGTAGGCTTAGCGCATATTTTTTTATCATCAACATACACTTCTATTTTTTCTTCAAAACTGCAAATGGAGGCAACCGCAACGACAAAGAGCGGCGCATCCATCGTATTATTATTTTATTAACAAGACGTAATAAAAATAATTATAATTAACGACAGTCGCGTTAGTTCTCGTCATCCGCCCGAAAATCGAGAAGACTGCCGACGCTCAATTGCGCGAAAACCAAATAACATTATTAATATTTTATTATCATTATTATTATTATTATATTAATGGATGGGTCATCGGTCAACGAAACGTGAGTGTGTAGTAGTTGTAAAGCATCAGGAGACACAGCACAATAGTCAATAATAGAAGGGACACCACCGGCGGTGCGACGCAATTTATTTATTTATTGTTAATAATAGTGGTTAAAAGACACAATTAATACAATATTATTAGTATTTTACAAATGAATTCGAGGCAATAATATATAGATGTCATTCGGGAAACGTGACGCACGCAAAAACTCTTAAAAAGGGTGAGGGTCCAGCCGATATGCATATTAACCGGGATATTAACCATTTCAAAAATATAATTTTAACGCGAGCGACGGACTACTCGAACACATGACAAACACAAACTAGTTTCATAATTGTATTATAATTACTTAGTTACATGAAGCAGGGTATTACCTCTAGATCTATTTACCTACATATAACGAGTACACCTGCATATGACAACGATATATTATATATATATATATAATGTAATAATTGTAATATATTATGTATTTATATTGTTATAATTAAAATGTATAACACTTACCCGTCAGAATTAGCGTCCGAGTTGACATCATTGACGGACCGATAATAATTCTGAATTSATGCACGCCCMGATTACCTGTAAATACAAAACGAATATTTTCTTTAATCCGGCTCGTCACGAACGCTGAGAAATGTATACTCTACAGTCTACACATGATATTATAAAATTATGCACACACACGTAAATGCGGTAAAAGTTAAAAACGTATGAATTATAAATTAAAATTAAAAACAGCTAACGCGAAAAACAAAATTTCGAAACACTTGCGGGGAGGGTTAGACAGACGATCACAATAAAATACGAGGAAAAATAAAACGTCGGCAGTAAATTTAAGGTAAGTACATATTATACCTATGAAACGATAAAAGTAAACAATGCAAAATAAAACTGAGAACGACAGTCGTTATAGTCCCGCCAATGGCTTTTACTTACTGGTCGGTAAAACGATAACGCATTTGATTTGTATCCGTCCACGACGTCGTACCACAGGTCCAACTCAATCGTGTATTTTGTATAATATTATCACTGTTCGGACAACTGGTTATCATTAAACATAACCTAGAAAATGAACGACGGCGKCGGGAAACGAGCGTGCTGAAACACTGACCGATCACCGCAGGCCGCAGCAGCAACAGTTAATAATGATGATATTATATTATTTTATAAGCGCCTCGTTACAACATTATGATGATTTTAATAGCGTTGAAGAATATTAATGTTTAAAAAAAAGTTTTTAAAGCACGCACGTATGAATACGTTTGTCAAATTTTCGGAAAATAATAAATGTGACGCGGCTCAAAGAAAAAAAATATTAACAACACGACGGGAATACAACTACTATTGACAATGATAATAATTTACAGCTGTTGTCCGTATAGGATATTATTATTGATATTATTACTATTATTATGATATAAATTACAATTACACGACGTGTTAACGCGTGTACGATGAGCGCGCGAAACGTGCACGAATCGTAGTCGTAGACTACTACTAAAACTAAATATTACGGTTGCGGTGGCGGCGGCGGCAGCAACAGCGACGACGGCGACGGCGGCGGCGGCGGCGAGCAACAAGTTGTTGTTACACACACACACACACACACACGCACACGCACGTACATTAACTGTACACACGCGCACATTCTGAGAGTGATATGATTACTATTAATAGACCGGTGGCCTCGATCGTTGCCGCCGCCGACGAGTGCATCCAGTTTTTGATAACGGGGCAGCGCAACAGCAGTAAACAAGATGGGACGCCATCTGCCGGCCGGCCGGGATCGCACGCGTCTCGTCGTGATGAGATTTTCCGACGAGATTTTTCAAAGGGAGTGCCGGACCGGTCACCCGTACGACCACACTAGCACCAGACGCGACAACGACCATGGGTGGACCACGTTTCGACCAAAAGTGTAAATTTTTTTTGCCCAYCAGTTCCGTCCGTTTCCATCAAAAACGTATTTTTTCTTTTTTCACCAGACGAGAAGACATTCACCACGCGTTTCCATCAGAATAATTTGTATGTACTATACTGCTATTGAAAGTTATGATACAGTAAGTCTACATTTTAAACTTCTAAAAAAACTGCAAAATATGTTTTCATTCATAATTTATTTGGGTATCTCGTGCCTCTATTACATTATACACGTGAACCCAATTCCAAATATTATGTTAAAGCAGCTGAGCCAGACAAATCATAAGATTTGGTGAATTAAAAAAATTTTTAAATCCTACCAAAAAATTAAAATAATACAATAACATAAAATGAATTCAATAGTAATAATATTAATAACACCTATATACTAGTTTATATACCAAGTTTTAATTTGCAATAGTAATAATATTGTATCAAATGAAGAATGATAAGTCCYCGTTGGCCAGCTTCATTATCCAGGATTGATTTTTGGATAACGTGTAGAGGACAAATGGGAATATAAAAGAAATGGGGTATATAGGTAAATGAATATGAATATGTACCATAAACTTAAATAAAACATTTTTTTTTTTTTTATTGATCAAAGTACATCGACAACTAGGCCATTAGTAAAAGAAATTTTTTTTTTGTTACATTTTTAGTATTTTAAGTATAAATTTTCTACATTAAATTAAATTGTACAATTCTGTTTTTTTTTTTAATAATAAAATTAAACTTTTTACATTCTGTGGGTTTGGTCCAAGTGCTTGACAGATTTRTTCRGAKATGTGAAATTKATTTCGATACWGGKTGTATTTTTGACATTCAGTGATGATGTGGTTGACGGTTAAAAGTACGCTGCATTACTCACATAGTGGAGGATCGTCTTTACTCMTCAAGTAGCTGTGTGTTAAGTGTGTGTGACCAATTCGGAGGAGGTTTATTATGGTTCCATCTTTTCTATTGAGTTTTGGATTTTTCCATGGGTTTATATTATTTTTTATTTTGTTGATTTTGGTGTTGAGTTGCGAATGCAATCTGCGAATGTGATGGAATTTATGGATGGAATTTATGGTTGGAGTTGATGTAGAGACAATTGCATTATAAGCTTCTTGGTCAGCCATTTAATTTCCGGGAATGCCTATGTGCCCCGGGATCCATACAAAAAGGATATGTTTATTTTTTTTCCCTGCAAGAAAAGTTTCCTCTTTGATGAGCTTTGTGATATCTGGTTGGTTTCGTGTATTTGTGATGGCGATTAAGTTGCTGAGTGAGTTGCTAAGTATTATAAATTTGGTTTGGTGGTTATAAAACAGTTAGTAKACACCAATAATGATAATTGATAATAATATACAACTCGGTACCGTTAACAAAGTATTATATTGAATTCGTTAAATATACGCTGTATATTGTTATAATAAAATTGTTATATTTAAAAATAATATATAGGTAAAGTGTCTACAGTTAAAAATAAACCAATTAGTCATTGCAAAACCACACGAGTATTTTATTTTATTTTTCTAAGAAAATATATTGTTAAGTAAAAAATTTATATTTACTTTAAAATAAAATTGTTTTTCTTTTCTATTTTATGTTTTTATACGACCAACTCATGAATCATAATTATTATTCGGTGCCGGTATACGAGTACCTTACGGAGTGACGGAATTTCTATTGTTACTTAGTTATTCTATATTCAAGTATATAGTGTTTTAAATAGTGTGCTTTATTACAGCTCATATGTGTTTTTTCAAGTATAAAAATTGATATGGTTGAAACGTGAGCAATATTTCATTTGKTGCAAACTGGTATCAAGGGAAATSGGAAAGGTAAACTTTTCACTTTTGATGGAAATGGATATTGGTGGGGAAAAATGGTATACTTATTTGGCGKAAACTGTTCCCGCCACCCCCCACCACTTCTATATAATATTACAATAATTATTATTTAATTAGATACAGGTGTGATACTGTGATTTTAATGTGACCTATTGTCTGTACCTACATATTTGTCGATGAGGTAGTAGGACGACCGGCTTACCGTAGCAGCTCTCAAAGCTGATGTCGCGCAAATAGATAATATAATTTTATCATAATAATATATTATAATAGATGCAAGTATTATTGTGTAGCGTACWAGCGTGTAGGCTATTGGTATTTCTAAATGTGAGATAAATACTGAGCGAATTTAAGATAAATAATTTTTGAATATTTTGCCGTAAGATGATTTATAGAGACCAGCGATTTGGTGACGGCATACGATACGTTATTATGATTTATAGGTATACAACCAGATATAGGGTACGCGACACGCTGYAGATTGTAACGGTTTCCAAGGAATTCGCTTACTAGGCATTAAAATAATCGCATTTAATCCAGTCGCTAGAGTTTAGAATATATAATATTACATCGATTTTCGTTTCACAACACCCATCTAATTGTCGAAATTACGTACGAAACAAAGAAAACCATACCTAATTTTCTGTAATTATAAGATTAATTTTAAAGTCAATTGAAAGTTCACGATGTGACGTCATTGCGCATGAGAGTAGATAAAAAAGTGCACTGTTACTATAGTATCATATGTATATATTATCTATATTATGTACAACTGCTGACTGCTGTATTATTATATATATTATAAACCAAATACAGATCAATATACAGAAAAACAAATACAGAAACAATTTGTAATATGTACTATGTATTATACATAGAGACTGGTTTATTACATAATATAGCAATAATATCAACTAAATTATGTATATAAGAAACGAAAATATTCAAATTGACCAATGCATGGAGTTCGTCAATGTGTCATTATAGGTATGCACATAACATAAATAGCTAATATATTATTCATTATTTTAAAAAATGCGTAAAAAAATACGTATTTAAAATATGGATTTAATCATGCTTAGGTCGTAGGTATATCGAATATTATAATATACTATAGTATTATATTATATTATTAGCTATAAATAGTTACGTATAATATGTGATATGACTATATCACGGAATAAATTGAATCTGTACAAAATATTTGTTATATTATCATAATATATTAATATACATGATAAACCATCAAGTATTCAATAATATTAATAAGTACATTTTGAAATATGTTTTTGATATTTWTATTTGTTATCCTGTTAAGTAAGCTTTTCTACACCCATACCAACATTATAATTATTTTAAAATATTTTCATAATATATGGTAGTACAAGAATAAAGTTTAATTGTATGATATAATAAAAAAGTTATGAATTTATGATATTTAGTTTTACATACGTATCTTGCTGACCTAAGCAAAACAATATTTTCAAATCATTATAATAATTACGTCATAATGATACTACATTATTTTAGTATTATTGTAGTATAGATAAATATTCTCTATATTAATCTTAAAATTATTCATAATTTTAGTTCAAAATATTTTAGGTTTATCAGTGTAAACTATACTTAAAAGTGTTTTTTAAATACGAAAATTGTTGCCTAAAATTTAAAATTACATAATGAATTCCTGTGTGCTAGTGAGGACAGCTATACGAGTATTTGAAGAAAAACAATAAATAAAATGTATAGTAAATTAATATACATTAGTGTATATAATATAGATAAATAATTTTTTTTATAGTCGATCAGAATTAGTATACTTAAAATATAGAGAATTATATCATAATATTTTTAAAACAGTATTAGATAATATTTTAATATCATAATTATAATATTACATTTATATTATAATGATTACAAATATAGTACCTATTTATAAATATTACTATCGATGTTATCTAATTTAATCGTATTATTTATAGAAATTAGAAATAGAATTCTATAAATAATAGTTGTTGTAATGTTTGTTTTGTTAATAGATGTGAAAACCCATTGTAAATCGTAAATGTATACCTATTAGATGATGATTCATGTTTCTCAATAAATTTTAAATATTTTCAACGGCCTCGGCCAATGTGTAAGAAATAGACTCTACATACTATAAACATAAAGTTAATTATGCTATAACTTTTTTTTATTTTATTATGTCACATTACCATAATAAATTGTAGTAAAATATGCGATAACTTTTTTTCGGGAAATTAAAAATTATTTTTTAAATACCTAAACACTTCCATCCGTGCAACACTACCCTGACATCAAATCAAATTATCGAACTAGATCGAAAAATAAATAGGCAGGTAGGTTACCTAACAATAAAAATAAAATACGATAACCCTAAAAGTATAGTATAATATGCAAGTACATGACATAGGTAGTATCTGTGCATAAAAAATTAAATAAATTAATCAAATGTTATAATTTTAAATAACGAGACAATGGGACGTGAAAATGTTTGTATTTAATTATATATTTCACTACAACGTAACTATATAATTGTATAGATGTGTTATTACCTTGTCTTGGTTGAAAAATGTAAATGTTCACAAATATTAATTTTTATTATTAAATATTAATTTAAAAATCTGCATTTCCGTCCACTATTAAATTTTTGTTGTAAACTGTCCATGGTCCGTCAATAATGCATGTGATATAATATACCTTATATAATATAAGGTTGATTAGAAACCGAACCAGCACTTTGTGGCAGGTAATTTAATTATTAAAATATCAATAATTGTAATATCGGCTCAAATAATTTTTTCCAAGTTTTATGTTACACAACTACCTATTATACGAGCAATATATCTGAATAAAATATATTCCGTTATCGATAATCTACAAGGAATACCTACTAACAAAACACGCTGGAGAAACCTAAATATCTCACTCTGCTACCAAGAAGTGTAGACAGTGTATAGTAACTAGTAACTCCGAAATAGGGAAAATTGAGGTAATATGAAATTTTTATTAATTGAAGAGTTCTGTGTTTTTTTTTATTAAGGTTAGATGTGGTAAAAACCACTATAAACCCCATGAAAAATTTTACTAAGAAAATACTGAGAATAAAAATAGCAAGGCCATTGTCCATGGCTTTACTGCATTATTTCTTAGAAATCGGATTCTTAAAAGCTTTACTTTTCTTACTGCATAATTGCCTTATCAATAGCTAGAATTACCATACGTCCGGTTTCAAACATCTGTCGAGATTGGCCTCCGGATTTGAAAAATGTCTGAATTTT